GCAAAAGCGTAAAGAATTAGGTCAATAATCGAGCAAATAAGAATGTAATAGTTAACTAATTAAAATATTGTATATAATTATATGTTAAAATATCTTTTTTTCGACGAAGGCAGTTTTATTTACATTTAAAGTAAAGATTGTAAATCTTTATTATATAAATTGAATATTTTTATTATACAGGGTATTCGAAAAATCCCAGACCCCTATATCATAAAAAGTAAGCATTTCTGAGAAAAATATTTCATACAAAAGTTGTATAGTTTAAAATGATTTATTTACTGATCTTGTCAATTTGACCTTGGTGGGGTCACCAAATTGATTTTTTTAAACGAAACATCCTATTTTTTATTTCAGAATCTAATAGCTGGTGTCAAAAGTTTTTCAAAATACTATAATAAAGTTATTTTCCTTTAAATACTTTTCAAGTTATAAGACCACAGCATTAGTATTACCAAAGGTGTCTGACCTATGGCTAAAACCTCGTAAGTGTTGTTCAGGATCGTGACTTGGATAACATTTTGTCAAGATCAAGGCTATTGGAGTTTGTACTTCTTATTTTCATTTTTCCATACAAATGAATTTTTAGTGCAAAAATGAAAAGAAGAGAAATAATCTTCAATGGCCTCGATCTTAAATGTTATGCAATAATAATTATGGAAATAAATGTCGTAATTACTGTAATTTCCAAGTTTTATAATTTGAAAAGTACTTAATAGAAAATAACTTTATTATAATGTTTTGAAAAGTTCTTGACATCAGCTATTGGATTCTAAAATAAAAAATAAGATGTTTTCGTTTAAAAAAATCGATTTGACCTTGATCTGACCTTGGTAATGTCTAAGGTCAAAATGATAAGATTTTTTTATTTACTTTATAAAAATGCCAAATATTACCAATCTCAGATATATATTTTCAAAATATGAAATTCTTAATACCAAATTCCATATCCGTATCCGTATCCATTTCCGTTTCCGTTTCCATTTCCGTTTCCGTTTTTATGTTCGTTTCCGTTTCCGTTTCCGTTTCCATGTCCGTTTCCGTTTTTATTTCCATTTTCGTTTCCATTTCTATTTCAGTTTCCGTTTTCATTTGTGTTTCTATTTCCGTTTCCGTTTTCATTTTTGTTTAAAAGTAATTATACAACATTAGTACTTCAATTAAATGTATTTTCTGTTTATGATTGGAGCAAAGATTTTATATGTTTTTTAAAAAATAATAGTATTACTTTGATAAATAAAGTTTGAAAAATCCCAGTAGAACAACAAGTCACAATAATATCAAAATGAATTAGAATGAATCGAAAATGATTAAAAAATGTCTTTTAATGATCATTTTGGAGTCATTTTGATATCATAATGATTTATTGTTCTGCTTGGGATAGATTTGGAATAGGAAGTCATTTTTTTTCTTCGAGGAGCACACATACAAGTGCGTATAATAATTTATATAATGGTTTTTTCTGAGAGAAGCACGCACTTAATGCCATTTTTTTTATCTTTTTTTAAAAAGGTAAATTTATTATTTAAATATTCGCAAACTTCCTTGGCAAATCTCACGCTTTCGAAACAAATATTTCGCCGTTGAAATGACGAAATAATTTTGTTGCCAAAGTTCAGCTAGGGGTAGGTCCATTTATTGCAGCAGCGGCATGCATTTCGATCTCGAATCTCAAATAACGAAGGCACAGCTTGGCCATTCTTTCTCATTTTGTCGACGGCGAAGTCAGCGCGTGTTCGTTAAGACGGACGGTAAGAATCCCGGCGCAGTCGTCACTGATTGCGCAGTCTAATTATAATTTCCGGAAGGCTCGGGCAATTAGCATTCAGCAGCTGCAACGAGCAACGTTGCACGGCTGCGCATCTTATTATATCGTCTTTTGTTGTACGAGTGAGCGACTCAAAACTGCCGGACGCGTTTGAGTCGGCGCGACGATGCTGACGGCATCGAATAAAGGACGACTATTTTCTTCCATATTTCTAAGCCTTTTTGCTTATACAACTAATAATTATTATAGAATTATAACGGCGGTGTGTATCGACTCAAAGGTGTGGGAGAAAACAAGTCGAGGAAATATGCCCCATTAGGCGTAATTACTTCAACGAGAAACGTACGATTGCCACACCTGTCGCCACGCGAGAGAACGCTGCAAACGTTTTGCAAGTAATGACATTTATCATGGATATTATTCACGTTAAGTAAAGACTCGTTTTACTCATGACGCAAATTACATTGATAAGTATCGTCTATTTCAATTAAAAGTTCTAGATAGAGAATCAACATAACATGTTGTAAACGTATCTGCGAGATGGACATTTCGTGATAGTAAACGTTGATATAATTATCTCAAACAATACAACCTAAAATCAAAACATAAGCTGTATTTTAGACGGTTCCCGCAAAAATGTTTTTAAAACATTTTTTGAACGTCTTTAAGACATCTTATGTCCTGATGTTGAATTTTTTGTTATTTAAGATATCAATGATATTTTATTATATCAAATCATATCTATCATTTCCTAGTGTTTTTGAATCCTTGTGGTCCTGTTATATTTTTAATATAAGAATATTTAATTTTTAATTTCTATGCCTTAGCAAAAATTAATAGGTTATTGAATTTGTATTCTTGGCTTTATATATCATTATGACTTTTCTATTCAATATTATGAATTTTTTAGATTCTTTAACTTCTAAGATTCTTAATCTTTCAAAAAATTAAAAAATTTTTAAATATATTTTTGAAGATTTCTTTTTTTGTAAAATTAGCTTATTAATATTATTAAGTTTTTTACAAATTATAATTATAATATAATTATAATAAAATCAAAGTTCTATTTGTATTTTGACACACACACACACACATACACACACACACACACACACACATACACACACACATCCTTCTATCTAAATAGATCATTAATTTTATAGTGACAGAAGTTTTGAAAATTTATATCCTCGTGTTCTAAGTTCTAATATTATACATTAATTGCACATATTAAGTAAGTTTTTAAAGTCTTAAATGATAGGATTGAATCTAAGACCGGTACCAAGTCATCTCCCAAAAGGCAATGGACTCTTGTATGTATATTTGACTACACTGCCTGTGAAGAGGCATTGATCTTGCAAAGGGTTCCACTAGCAGACCGATTAGTTAGTGTCGTATGTCGATTGGTTGCTCTTGCTTGCTCTTGCGGAAATTACGTCATCGGTACACAAACGCGACGCGCCGATTGCTACCGCAGCTTTCGAAATAACGCCTTTAATCGAGCATCGAAATCGCACATGAAAACCAACCAGCAAAACTGCGGCCAGCGGAAGGTGCTCCATGAAACATTCATAACTTCCGGCACTGGTTGCGGTTACCGCTCCGCGGGCAAGTATACGCAAACACACGTATGAGTGATATGTGCAATCATGTCGGTGAACGTTGTACCGGAGGCTGTCACCGGTCTAGGGCTAACATCGATTTCAATCTAGGGTCGCTTCGCTCCGAGGTCCTCGCAATGAAATCGAATGTACCGGTTTTACGAGATCATTCGGACATACTGGGGTCGTGGCATTGGTTTATGCTCAAAGGCATATTGCTGTATCGTAATGCATCATATACTTCACACGTATATATATTTTGTCATGTACATAGAATACTTGAGTACCTATATATAGGGTGTCCTAATTATTGACACAGCATTCGTGTATATCCTGATGGAAAAAAATCGCTGAAATTGTTGGATTCGACAATGAAATTGTTGATATAAGAAATAAAAATATTGTTGTTGAAAAATTCTTTCACCATGAATAATACTTTTAATATTGAAACACTATGAATTTTAACGATAATTAATGAAAATTAAGATTAATGAAAAATACTGAAAACTAAAATGAAAAATATTTAATATTCATACATAATTTATTCGGAGATATTGAATACTGAATTATATTAAATACAATGAATCCTAAAGATAATTATTGAAAATACATTAAAAAAATGAAAAATAATACAAAACATGTAATATTTCTATAATTTGTTATACACTGAAATATTTTGAAATATTATGAATTTTGAGAAAAATTAATGAAAATATCTGAAAAGTAATGAAATGGGAACGAAATACACAATATTTTTATAGATTTGTCAATGAAAGTTATCGAAAATGAAAATAGAATAATTAAATTGTTGGAATTAGTAGTTGGAAAGATTGTAATGAGTGAAATTTGCTGAAATATGATAAAATTTGCTGAAATATTGTAACAAAAAGTTTTGAATATAATGGATAAGAAATTGTTGAAATATTCTGTTGATATAATACATTAATTATGAAAGCAAAGAAATATTAAAGTACTTTTATTTAACTTCTTTCTATAAAAAGAAATTAAATTATATATAAGTGGATAAATATTAATTGTTGAGTTTAAAAATGTAATAAATCAATATATGTATGTAAAAGCAGTAAAAAAATGTATATGAAAATGATATGAAATGATTTTTTAAATTTCTTAAAATGTATTAAATCATTTTTTCTAATAAGATTTTTCTTTAAGATTTATATAATACGATTTGGACTTTCATTATGATTCACTTACAATTGTAATAATTGTGAATTTTTATAAAAAATACTGAATTTTAATGAATTTTGTTGAATAATTCGTCACTACAAATTTTCGTATTCAATGATTTTCACTGTAATCTTAATGATTCAGATTGAATTGTTAATAAAATTTTAATGAAATATTGAAAACGGATCAAATGATAAAAATTTTAATATGAAATTTAGTAAATTTCGATAATATTTCATCATTTTTCATTACAATTTCAGTAATATTATCATCATTATTCGTCACAATTTAGGAAAAAATTTCCATCAGGATAGATAGAGTGGACTAAACTGATTGTGTCCAAAAATCCTCTATCATTTTACAATTTCCGCAATTTTTGTTTAGTTGCTCAATAAGCAAAATGTCTAAAATCGACGCACAAGATAATTCTAAGATATCATTAAGAGTTTTTTAAGAAATACCTTTAAGATATTTCATTAAAAAACTTTAAAATATATCTTAAATTTATCTTACATGTCGATTTTACCTACTTATTCGACAATATTTAGAAATTAACATTTTGTTAAGTATTGGGAAAGTATAGTTTTCGTTTAAGTATTGGGAAAGTATAGTTTTGTTAATTTAGCTCTATATGTATACGCGCTGCGTCAATAATTAGTAAACATCCTGTATAATTGCAAAACACTAATGGATTCGACATAAAACGTAAAAACATGTGAAATTTTAAAAGTATATTTAATCCTCCGCCGATAATGTTGGACTTCAAAGATATGGTCCATTTTTTTGTTTGATTTTGGATGCGTTCCATTTTTTTACTACAAACGCTCGAAATATTTGATTGACCAATCAAAAAATAATTTTACTACTTGAATAATCCTGAAAATGTTTGAGAGAATGTAATCTGAAATTTATCGATTTAAATCTAAAAAAATAAGTAAAATATAATCCAACTTTTATAATAAAAAGATTTTTTTATCTTAATACATATTTCTTTGAATAGTCCTAACAAGTAAACGTTTACTTACAGTAAATAAATATTTACACAATAAAAATGATAGTTAAATCAAATTAATGGTTTTTATATCAAATAAATATATGTTTACATTTAATAAATATTTACTTAGAACTATTCAAACAAATATTTAAAATTTAATATTTTTTTCAGTATGATAACAAATATTCATTGTTAAAATATTTAAGATTTTTTATCATAAAAGATTGAATAGTCTGAATGAAATATGAAGTCAAAATATCTCGTATTTCAAATATCAATAGATTTGTATGCAAAAAACAAAATATAAAAATATCTCTCAGTTGAATCGAGTAATTAACTGAGAAATTAAATTTCTCCAATCTGCACGATTATTCCTGCGATTTATGAAATAGTACTTTTAGACAATTATTCTCTGCCACAGTTTTAACAATTGCTTCCTGCTACACTCGTATATTTCGCTCATAACCTCAAGCCCTTTTCTCGGTAACTTAATGAACGGTCGATTATTTCCAAACGATTTCACTGCCCCTAACGCGCATACCCTTGACAGATGGTATAGCGATAAAATTACATTTCACCTTCTTGGAAATCTGATGAGGGAACGATTACTTCATGGCCGACCCTAAACCCAAATACACTTCCCTCTATACGTTTCACGATAATGAAATTACATTTCGTCTCCTCGCGAGCTTCGAGAAATTCGATGAAGGAACGATTACTTCCAAACGATCCGTCGGCGGTAGTGAATATCAACGGGATATCCCGCCAACCTCGAGATACGAGAGAGAGTCCGAGAAACTCGATAATCAATTTGCATTCGATAATCCACGATCATTAAGACGGATGTATTCGGCGGAGCTGGCATCTCAGAAACCCCGAACTACCGGCCCGGAAATCGGCATGCGGATTAGACGCTTTGTCGTCGCTGTGGCGGCATGGCTTCGATCTACTCTGGTCCAGAATTCCCCGGTTTGCTTATGAATGGTTCATGCCGAGTTAACGTGCAACCACGTGCATACATACGTATCTGCGCTCCGCGCATTCAGCCGCGCATGAATGTTTTACCCGACTACGGAAATTACGAGGAGCGCCCTAAAGATCAAGTACGAGAGAGCGAAGCTTGGAAGATTTGAGAATCTTAAGGTAATAAAGACGATACGAGAGAACGACGCTAGAAGATGATATTAAATATTCAAGAATTTAAAATATCAAAAGCTTTGAGACTATATTGTACACAGATTATATATAGATTATATTTAATTAATTTTTCTGCTAATTTTGATTATTCAAAAATATAAAAGGTAATAAATTATAGAAAATATAAGTTGGCCCACAATATCAAAAATTCTTTTAACATTGTTTTTCTTTTAGAAGATTATTAGTATTAAAAAATAAAATTCGATTATCGTTCTTCATAAGAAAAAAATCGAATACTCTTTCGCTCTCTAAAAATATAAAAAGGTAATTACTTTAATTTTTTTTAATAATATAGTATGTTTTTTAATGTAAAACAATTTTTTCTTATATTTATGTAAAAATATTAATAATTAATATTTATAATCTTCAAAAAACTGAATATTGAAATGTATTAAAGACTATAAATCTTTGTTAGAATTCTAATAAATACAGGCTGTTCAAAATCCCAAAAACCCCTTAAATATCTTAAAAAGTAGCATTTCTGAGAAAAAGGTTTCATACAAAAATTGTGTATATTTTAAAATGTGTATATTTTAAAATCTATTTACTGATTTTATCAGTTTAACTTGACTTTAATGACATCACCTCAAGTCAAACTGATAAGATTAGTAAATAGACCATTTTAAACTATATAACTTTTGTATTTTTCTCAGAAATGTTTACTTTTCAAGATAGTTAAAAGATTTTTTGAATATCTTGTATATCAACATTCTAAAAACAGATTATACACAATATGTACAATAGAACAAATTTATGTAAGATAAAATATGTGTATAATTTTATTTAAGAGATAGGAGAAATTTTGACTTGCTTGGAGAAATTGCTAATTGCTCCCTTTAAAAGAAATGAATCAATTTTAAAATGTTAAGAAAGAATAATATTTCTAATAGTCGCCAAGATAATTCATACTTTAATAAATCACTTAATTCAACATTCAATAATATACTATAAAAGCAGAGAATCCTAATTAATTATTCAAGTGTACGAAGACCTATAAATATATCCGATGAAACAAGTTGATATTTATTAGTAAGGATATTACGATTTTTATTTATATTACGATTTTATTCTTTCAGTTATTCAATGTGATATTAAAATTATGTATTTAACCTTTTGCATGTGAAATAATAATAATCGAAATGCAGTAAGAGAAGAGATTTTGCTTAATGTATAGAAAATATACATTAAAATTCTAAATTGTGATACCTGGATGGAAACATATTTCTGACGCACAGAGCATAAACAGAACATAAAAGTCAGAAACAATGAAATATACAGGAGGTATATGATTACATTTAATTATCTTAGTTATTTATAATATAACATTTCAGATCTCTTTTTCTTTTTTTATCAGCTAATACAAAAAAATATAAAATAGTTTAATTTAATATGAAGCATTTCCGCTGTTTTTAAATACGAGAATGATATTAGCTCTTTTATAAAAACAAAGATATAATTTATTACAACATGAAGGGAAATTTAAAATATATGATCTGTATTTAATTAAAATATATTATTTCAATGATCCATTCGCCAATGCATACGAAGAGAGAAGAGTGCTCTGCTAATGTTACCACATAATTGGCACTTCAGTGCAAAAGGTTAAATTATTTAAATTAATTATATGATCAAAATCCCTGTGATTGTTCATTGACATGAAATCGAGCTAGAAAAAATAATGCCGCCCGAGGCAAAAGAAGAAAGGTATTAAATAAAAAAATTCCAATACTCAATATCCTGTAGATATGTTTTACCATTATTTAATAATCCATACATCGTGTTTGAAAAATACATGATATTGCAAATGTAATACCCAATATATGGTCGATTAAATAATGTAAAGAGCTCCATTCTTGTAATGTGCTGCAATATTACATTTATATAAATATATCAACAATTAACACAAATATTAAAATATAACAAAATTATATTATATAATACAAAATTATTATTTGTGTCTCATTATATTTTTCTCAAATAAATAAACAATTTTTCTTGTGTAAAAGTATACGACATTTTCCCAGCTCGATTCAATTTTTGCATCGTGCGTGCAAATGCGAAAGATGCAAAGATGCACATTCATCTTACCTGGAATTGTAAAACCGTTGTAACTCAACGTAAATGAGCATCTCGAGGCCAAATCGTCTCCATTCTGATGGCTTCATATATTGTTCCCCTATAGGGAACAGAATGTCTATTTCGTCTCCGTAGTTGTTCTTTTGTGCATTTCCCAGCAAAAAATGTTACACTCATTCCTTTCGTGAATAATGTGACTATCTGTTGAAAATTAGAGACAACGATCATCATTATAAATTCCTTATCACTGTTAAGAGAAAAAAAAAGGAAAAAAAAATTCAAGAAAAATATTTTTTTGAATTCTACACGAAAAGAACGATTCTGCTGAAGTATCTAAAAATTTAGCTAGATACAGATATATTAAAAATAATTTTGGTCCATTAAAATAATTATGTAGTAAAGTAAAATTATTTAGTGAAATTATTATGATACTCAAATTGTTAGAATGTTAAAACTTTTTGCAACATTATCATTATCCATACAGCACATTTCATCCGAAGAACATCCTGGGAATGTAGAACATTCTTAATAGAACGTCGAACATTCTTAGGACGTCATCCCTTGGACATTGCTTTATAGGCACTCTAAGTAATTATTTTATATGATCCAACAAAATTATCTTCAGATCAGCTAAATTTTTAAATACTTCATCAAAATCATTTTTTTCGAATACAAAGTGTTTCATTGAATTTGTATATATAGGAAAAAATACAAAACTTGTTCATTTAGCAAAGGAATAGAAAATCGTACTTTTTACTTAAAAGCTCATAATTCAAAAATTATGAAGAATATTCTTAAATTTTTTTACAGCGCAGTAAACTGTACTCTTCCCTTTCTTATGTAATTTTTTCATAATTTTTTTGCGCTATTATAATATTAAAAATGAAGATTTTTCAGTATGGTACGATTTTGGCAATGAAGAAATTTTATTGCTACTTTCCTAAATTGCATCATACCAATATTCAATAAAATTCTTTAAAACATTATGATAATGCAAAAAATTAAAAAATTATATAAGAAAGGAAAAAATTGTATTTTTATTA